ACCTAATACTTCATTAGAAAGAGCGAGAATTGACATAACAAATGCCGGTGCAACCTCAATATAATCGTCATGTTCGTTCTGTTACTTCAAATCTTTCCCGTGAAATACTTGTAATTGTTCGCAGCGACATCGACTTAGCGGAAAAACCGGTACAAGAACGCAACAAAAGACTTTTGATATGTTTACTCACGCAATGCTCACGCAATTTTTTGGAAGTCACCCATAGTGAGTAATGCGACTTCGAGAAGAAAAGCTTCTTAAAGCTATGAAAATTTAACTCAAAAAAACCCAAGATATTCCAATGCACATTGAAGCCTTAACATAATAATTATTTCTAGAAGTAGCCAATGAGGACTTTTTTTGCTGACCATCGTTAGATAAGAGTGAGCTGGTAAGATCATTTCTTAATATATTTGCAAACGATCCTTTAGTGTCTCCAATGTAGAGCCATTTGTAATTAATTTTGCAAATTTTGGTGTTTCACTGTATATGAGTGTTTTTTAATCCCTGCTTCTCTTCATATTCCGCTTAGTTTGTTTATGTATTTTCAAGAATGCGCTAGTGATATTGTTCATTATTGCGTTGCTACTTGCTTCTACTACTCTATATTCTGCATACTTTCTCGTTGGCTCACAATTACATAGCATCAAAATTGGAGCTGATTTTTGAAAATGTCGATATGGTTTAAATTCTTTTCATCAGATTGGATCGTAAGTGAAGCCATCAAGTGGCGAAGGAATGGTGTGAAATGATTCACTTAACTTTTTCCAACCTGTAACAATCCCTGTAATCAGAATCATCTGGCAATAGCTGAAATAATACGTCACGTGTTTGTAGATATCAGAAAGTTGAAAGTCGGCGTTCAAATCACACCCATACATACGAAGCTAGTTGACTAGTCATTTATGAAGTTCACTTCAACGGTAGAGCACATGGGTCCATAAATCGGCTCAAAGAGCTTCGAATTTGCCCTATTTCGAACTTTTATCATCAAAGCTCTTCGGCCTCTGCACGTACTCCAACTTTCATTGCGCATAAACACTACTGTTTTATAACCGTCTCAGACCTCTCGGTCTGCTCAATTTAAAGTATGTCCAAAAACAGTCAAGACAGACATTTTGATACCAAGAAGGAGAGGAGGCTATGTTGGAAAGTTTGGAAATTTTAGCAGATGGCAGCCGCATAGAGGAAAGAGCAGAGAAAGAAAATGCTCATGGTCATTGTGGGCAACGCAGCTCGATGAACTGGTTGTTATGCAGTTTGTAAATGGAAGCTTCTATTATAGCGCTTGCTTCCAATATTTTATTCAACCTCGCTTTCATCTTGGAAAAATGGTCATCTAATACTCCGTCGAGTGCTTTTATGGCAGAGTTGATAGCTAGCTGAATAGGTTTTTCGCGTGATACTGTGTTCTATCCATGCTGATCATGTCACTTCACCTAGCTTGCTCTAGCTATCACAAGACTGCTCATAGAGTGTCCAATCTCCTTTGATCCATCTCTTCTCAACAAACCTTCTTTTCATCTAAAGTAAAATCACCACTGCCATCAATTAATGACGATCTCGTGGAATAAATCGATAGGGGGAAAAATGACGTCAGAAGATCTTTATTTGGTATTCACAAAGAATCGAAAATCTCAGGAAAGTCAATAAGATTGATCTATCGCGGTGATCCGAACAACATATACATCAGAATCATTATAAAATCAACAACGATCAAATATTATTGATTTTTAAGCTTGATATCTAGAGGTGTAACCCTGATGAGTCTTCTAAGGCAATATATAAGTGAAAACAAGATAAGTGAGCAAACAGCAGTGAAAATTATGAAAATATCTATGTTATGATACACAAATGTACTAAGATTTCGTCCCGATACTAACAGCTCAGGTATTTGCCCGAAAGTAATGGCTAAGTCTATTGTTTTTATTAGTTTCTCTTCAGGTGTAAATGGACGTTTTGCCAAGATATCACGAATCCGATCAGCTGCTTTCTTATACCTAAAAGTAGGAGGAAATGCAATTTTTTCCACATATAGATTGAAATTCAAACCAAGCTTTGAAGAGCTTATCAGTAACTAAAAATAGAAACTAAAGATGATTAAAATGCAAGTTTGAACAAACTTTGTATTGTTGAAAATTTCTTCAATCGCATTTCGCAGCACATTGCTGTCAACCAAAGACGCTTTGTTCAAATGAATGCCTAAAAAAATGATAAAGTACTAGTTTACATTAAAATGCTGATTACGAAATATTATCTGACTTACCAAAACCAAACTTTGTGATGAGTTTAGCATTTCTCGTCTGATCACCAAAAAGAGGCACAACAATCAGCGGTTTGGCAGAAGTGGCGCTCTCCATCATACTACCCGCACCACCATGGGTAATGAATAGGGTCAAGCGATCATCAGCTGAAACACAATTTGATTTAAAATGAAAGACTGCTAAGGTATATAATGCTCCACCCAACAT